GGAGGCAGCAATGCATGTATGGGGGCACGGGGTATTCAATAAATCTCTGTATCTTTCTCTTAATCTTGTTGTGAACCGAAAACTGCTCTAAAAATAGTTTCTAAAAATGCAATAGTATTACCGAGCCATAATACTTTGCTTATGACTAAAAGACACAGCCAGAGATAAAAATTGTACTGATTGTATAAAATTTCAGTAAAACTGCTGTGATGTTACCAGTATCAGATCTGATGAAAAACAGGACCTCAAAGGCATTTGCTAGGAGGCATGAGCAGAGAGAACAGGACTTAAGAGTTAAGTCACAGTCAATTCCCAGTACGTTAAATGTTGGTAGCAGATGGCACACCCTACTTGAGGGTGGATAAGCCTCCAATGGGAGAAGATAATTGAAATACATATATCCAATGAAGGATTCAAATCCAGCCTAATAACCAAGAACAGGCCAACTAAGAAAAAATAAAATAAAATAAAATAACAGTGGGCAAAATGCTCTAACAGGCACTTAAGCAAAGAAGATACAGCAATGGTCAATAAGTATATGAGAAGATGCTCGCTAGCATTAGTCATTAGGGAAATGAAAATTAAAATCACATCATGATACCTATCCACCAGGATGGCTAAGATAAAAAAGACAAAGGATGCCAGGTTTTGTGAGGATATGGAGCAAATGAAACATTCCTATGTTGCCTGTGGTGGTATAAACTGGTATAACCACTTTGGAAGCTGAGTGGCAGCATGTGTAGAAGCTGAACATACAGAGCCAGTGACGTCAGCAGTTTCTAGGTAAATCTCCAACAGAAATGAGCACACACAGGCACCAAAAAGACATACAAGAATGGTCATAGCAGTATCCAAAATGGCCACCATCAGTACAACACATACACTATATATGTTTACAGGATGAAATATTATATAAAAATGTAAAAGAATAAACTACTATACACAACATACATGGATCCTATAAACATAAAATTCCACAAAGGAATCCAGATACGAAGGAGTATATTCTTCATGAGTCTATTTTAAAAAGACTGAAGAAAAAAAACCCCAAGTATAATCTATGGTGGCAGAAGTTGAAATAGTGGTCAGCTCTGCAGAAGGTACTGACTTCAAAGGGGAATGAGAAAAATTTCCAAGACACTGGCAATGCTGTACATCTTGATCTTTCAAAGGGTTACATGCAAGCGTTGACTTCGTAAATATTCCTAGAGCTATATAATAAAGACCTGTGCTCTTTATTGCATGCATGATATGCTTCAATTAAAAGGTTTACATAACCACTAGGGCATACTCATACATACATCAGTTTAGATGGGGATGTGAGTTGATAACAGTCATGTTGTGGAAGATCCCTGTGGGTGCTACACAGAGATCAGATAGTAGGAAGGTGAGAAGATACAGGCAGAGAGAAAGGAAGCTGCGGCAAGGCAAGGGCAAGGGATTAAATACCCGAAACAGGGCAGTGGCAGCAGAGAAGGGAATGAGATTCCTACGCGAGAGAATTGGGCAGATCCTATAGACTTAGACCCGTTAGATGTAAAGAATGGAATTGTATTCAGTATCTTGTAGTAATCTACAATGCAAAAGAATATACGTATGTATATGTATGATTGAAACATTATGCTGTGCACCAGAAATTGACACAACATTGTAAACTGACTATACTTCAATAAAAAAAGAATACAAAAAAAAAAAGTAAGAATGGGAGTGTGGAGTGAGTGGGTGGTTGGAAATTCAGGTAAAGGGAGCAGCTGCTGCGAGAGTTACTAGGCAAGGAGGAGACTGCAGGTTAACATGCTGCATATGAGATATAGGGAACAGAATGTATTCTATATAGTGAATACATTCCTATATAGGGAGTACATCCTATACAGGGAATATAGGGAACAGAGTGGAGATGGTGAGCAAGTGAATTTAGAAAAACCAATTAGTGAAACTCCACATTTACAGGAAGCTTTGTCTGAAATGAAATCCCTACCTGGGTTTAAGGACTTCAAGGAGTCTGGGTTTCAAAAGCACCCCACCATCTAGCCAGTGTGAAATCTCAGGGGTTATCTTCTGACTTCTGAGTCAAGGAGTGGGGAGCAGCAGGTGCAGGGAATGACTTGCTATCTCACCCCACCCTTGGAGGGCTCCGCGGCCTCGGGCCACCTCACCTCTCCATCCTGCCGTGCCTTCGCTGGGCTGACAGGCGTACTAAATCGTGACTATTTTGTAGGGAAGCCTCACTCTTGTTCTTTTTCACAATGTATTTGATAACGTCTATAGTCAGTGACTCCTTCAGAGCTGAAGTTGCTCATGGCTAGTCTCACACTTACCTGTCTGGACAAATCTTCCTGGCACTTTACCAAAAGACTAGGAAACCTTCCTTAAAAAATTAAAAGATAACCCCAAAGCAAAGTATTCCAGTACAGATTTAAAATGGTTTTATAAAAATATTTCTTAAATGCAGTTACTACTTATTATGTTTCTAACAAGATTATACTGTATAGCACAGGGAAACATATACAAGATCTTGTGGTAGCTCAAAGTGAAAAAAAATGTGACAATGACTATATGTATGTTCATGTATAACTGAAAAATTGTGCTCTACACTGGAATTTGACACAACATGGTAAAATGACTATTACTCAATAAAAAAATGTCAAAAAATTTCTTAAATGCAGTTGCTATTTAATATGTTTCTGCCAAAGGATGAGAACAGAGAAATACAGTAACTGTATTTTAAAGATGCATAACTGTTGTACTGTGCACACATACGTGCATTAATAAAAGCCATATAGGCTCATTCTAAGTATATAAGGAGTAGCTCTGAGAAATCTGGGTCCTGTTTATCATCTCTTATTGTGAAGGAAAACCATGTGTTTTCTCATTTTGATAAGAACTCCTATTAGACATTCACAGAGCCGAAGCTGTGGTGATATACGCATATGATTGTGAAATTCAAACACTTCTTTTGTGTGAGAAGCAATGCGTATAAAGAAACCTTAATTCATAGTTTACAACAGAAGTGGAAGCAATGACTTTATCTAAAACTTCATTAAAAGCTGTTCTCTGTCTAGAGTAGCCAAATATTCAGCAGCACCTAAGAAGGCTCTTAATACACCTGGTCCTGCCTAGTTGTAACTTCTGGTTGAGTTGGTAAGCTTCAGCACGGCAAGAACAGAACTGTGGATGTACACAGTCAAGAAGTAACAGAACTCTCGCGCTACATCCCTCTCTTCCTAAGTCATCTGCCTTTCGTCCTTCTGGGATACGCAAACCCCAAGGGCACGCAGGTAGATTCCTGAGAAAAATTATCTGCAAATACAGGCACAGAGTGAGCCCAAAGAATTCCACTCCTAAAAATGTGTCAGATAACAAATTTTCAGACAGAAATCAAACATTCAGTGGGTACACAATTTCATAGTTTTTAAACAGTTTAAGTAATCCTGTATTTCTAGTCTGTGTCTGTTGTACCTGTTAATCAACTAAACTAGGTATTTTCTAGTTTCTCAATAATATTGTACTGTGCGCAAGTAGCATGGTGAAGAGACCTAGCTAATTCACATTTTATTTTCCAATGCATAGAGAAAATACATGCATGGTGCTAGGTCCATGCGCCCAGCCAAGCTTTTGTCTTCTCTATGTTCTTATCTTTCCATAGGCTTTAACACTTCCAACTTTTCTTCTGCAGAAGGAAAGGCCACTTGGGCTCACTTATTTGCCTAATAGTCTGTTCCAATTTTTAGAAGCTATTTTATTTTCACTTAATAATGTGGGGAAGATAACAAGCAAAAATGCCCAGGATGTTTAAGTAGCACACATGTGAGATGTAATGCCACCAGGTGAAATACACTCACGAGGGCCAACACCATAACCGAGCAGGACCCTCTGGGACCTTCCTGGCAGAGATCCCTCCTCCATATCCTCCGCTGTAGTTCCTCTCTGAAGGACCCAGGTAATAGTATCTCATGCATATTTCCTGAGTTTTTTAGATGCTAAAAATCACTATCAAATGGAAGAAATTAATGACTTGATGATCCTGAGTATGTAGCCCCCAGACTTTCTGGTGCCTAAGGATTGAGCACCAGCAGCCAATCAGAGAATTGTGCACGAGCTGATCACATCCCTGGGGCTCCCCTCCCTCACCCAGCTTTTAAAAATCCTTTGCTGAAACCCTTCTGGGAGTTTGGAGATTTGGTGGGGCACAAGCACCCATCCTCCTTGCTCAGCTCTGCAATAAACCTTTCTCTGCTCCAAACTCCAACGTTTGGGTTTGTCTGGCCTCACTGTGCCTCGGGCACGTAAACTTGTGCTCAGTAACAACACCTCGTCCTCTCCTGGGGACATCCTGCAGCTTGAACATTGTCACTGGCTCACACCTGCCAATTGCCTTCAGAGGCTTACAGTTTGGATAGTAAACAAATTCAGGGTAAAATTTTTTATAAATCAGTAAAAACTCTTTGGCAGTTAGGTTAGTAAAGACATAGCAAAATGAAGAAATTTACTTTGTAATTATCCTGTCTTCAGGGACTGCAAGACAAACTGTAAAGTGGCCGTACAAATGGTGGTCTCCTGTGGAATTATCTTACAAGTCATGAGTTAGACTATATTATGTCAAAGAATATGTAGCATGAGGAGAATTCCCATTTGACGGGCAAGAGAAAACCAGAAATGCAATGACTGTTCTGATAAGAAGTGGCTCTTTTCTCTGATCACATCATTAAAGTGTTCAGAGGAAAAGGTTCTTCTTTCTAGTTAATTATCATCTAATGGCTAGTAGATTATTTTGCATAAACTAATAGGCAACAACGCTATTAAAAAAAACTCGGCAGAACTGATTAATTACTTCTCTCATTTAAAGTATTTAATTAGGCTATTTTTCACAGTAAAAATAAGAAGTGCGCTAAGTCAAATCTGTTGACTATGGAGAAATCATGTATTATTACTCTAACTGGAATTAAAGGCACTGGAACAGAACACCCAGAGGTAGAGTACCATGTCAACCTTGGCCTTACCCTTTGATTTCAAGGCTTCTAATACCTTTGAATCAGCTGTTACATCACTCACTAGCTTGATTTCAATACTTTGAGAAGTCAGCTGGAGCAACTTTTCGAAGAGACGTTGACCCTAGAAAAAAATATTCAGAAACAAAGTCAGAAAACCTAAAAGTAGGCTATTTTAAATAGGAATAAATAAACATTGAAAATGAAAACCATTCATTCAAATTTAAAAGGCAAGCACTTAAGCAGTTACTATTTATGGAAAATTCTTCCAAGAGTTGATAGAAACAGTAGTAGTTCAAACACAGATTACATTGGTTTTTGAGTATTGTGCGACTCACCAATTATTGCAATAATCACCTCAAAGCTACAATGCAAATCTACTCTTCTCTTACTTTTTCATTAACTCTGAAGTTATCTACACATGAAGAGATAGAGAATATTAAACAGCTGTGGCTAGGTCCAGAGAGACTCCGATTCCAGCTGGTTTTCCAATGTAAAAGCTGGATTTCTTAAGAATAGGAGGATGAGTGTGTATGTGTTCACGTACGGCTGGGGAATTGTGCTGTGCACCAGAGAGTGACACAGCATTGTAGACTGCCTACACCTCAATAAATAAATAAAAAAAAAAGCTGTGTTTCTTAATCTCACTAATTTCCAGATTCTTCCTCAATAAAACGTAGATAATATTAGTATATACTTTAAAGGGTTTTCGTGAGGATTAAGAGTTAGCAGTAGGCAAGTATCCCTTAAACGTTTGCTATTGTGACGGTCATCATGGCTACTTAACCATAGTGGTAGGGATTTGTCTAAATTCAGCTTGTTTAAAACTTATTTTATTGAATTCAAGTTATGCTCTGCCTAGAAATCTAGAAGTATTAGCCCAGACTAAAGATGACTGAAGTAAAAGACCAAATAAAAAATAAAGGTTTTCCTTGTAAGATTTCCACAAGCATATACATTTTATAGTAAATTTTAGTCTCTGGGAGACTCTGCATAGTGGTAGGTTCACAGTCATTGTATCATCTCAGGCGAGTGAGTTGCAACGTTGCCCCGTTTATTTTCCCTTGTGCATCTTCCCAGACTCCTCCTTGTCATAAAAGTGAACTGGTCTTTTATTGGTTTTTCAGATTTTTGGTTTTGGCCACAAACTCAAATGCCTTCAGAGGCCAAACAGACAAGAAGGCTTTGGCCTTAATGGCCCCTAAATGGCAGAATCTTGACAAGAATGGATTATTGGTGATGATTATGTAGAAAGGATCTGAAGACTGATAAGAGAAGACGGCTGAAATGCCGATGTAGAGCAGTGACTCCTGCGATGCAGCCTCAGAAAGAAAAGAAGCCAAAGATCAAAACCCTACAGCTCTGGAGTATTAAGGAGGAGGGAGCTGGGAGGGCCTGTGCCACGATGCCAGCTGACAACAGGGAAGAGTGTCTGGTATAACCCAGCCGCACTCCAACTGGAGCCAGCGCAGTACAGCTAAAGCTCCATGCTCCCTGGACATTGGAGGATAGAGGAGTGGCCCCCATGTCAGGGATGGAGGCTTCCTTTTTGTTTGACTAAGTGTGCTGATAAAGGATGTCCAAAGCAGAACTCATCAAAAGCGACCAAATTACTCTGCATGCGGAGCTTGGCGGCAGCCTCTCCACAAACCAGGTATTCTTCCAAGGTGTGCTGAATGTGTGCATCAGGCAGTTGCGAATTGCTTTTTTAAATAAAGAGGTGAGAGGAGAGAAGGGGGAAAGAAAAAGAGAGACATAGGAGGAGACAGAGGGAGAAGAGTAGGGAAAAAGGCAGCTGTTGATTTGCTGATTTCAGGGTCTAAGTAAATGTCCAGTTTACTATGGAGAAGGGAGGGCTTGTCAGTGAGAAGCTCAGACACTAGATACGAAGGAAGATGCACTTGGTGGGGTTTTCCTGCAGACAGAGTTGCCACCAACACAGCCTCCTCTCTGCCAGCTTGGTGACTTTGCTGAGTTGTGACTATGCCCTTGTCACACATCCTTGAAGGCTTGGTGATGTCTGCACGGCCCAGACTCATGGTCATCTCATCATCACATTAATTGTGTTCTTCACCTTCACACAGGGAAAGGGCTTATGGACTTTGTGTGTTCTGTGAGACCCCACCGTTAGTGAGCCAGTATTTTTAAGCAAATTTTTTTCCCTCATCTTAGTAAACAGTATATTTAGCACAAATGAAACATAAGAGATCTTCTATCTGTGTTTCTGGCTCTGTGCCTTAAATTGATTCCCACTGTGTTATTTTTGTAAGATTTAAAATGAAGACCAGAGCTCTCCAACATGAATGAAAATAGAAACTCCAAAAGCTACAGAGAGGGGCAGACTGTCATTAAATAAAGCTTATTTTTATTTTTACTTCAATATGTGCTGATTACTTACGCCAAGGATTCTTAACATTTTAAATTATAGTGCTCAATCTAATGAACTTGCGCTCGGGCGGAACTTCTACACTTCTATGTGAGGCAGAACTTCTATTAAATCTCCCCTCTTTTCAATGTCTTACTTCCTGGTCCACATAGTATTGCTAAGACATTCAGAATGCTGTTACCTCCAAAAGTATGAAACACTCTATGTAGAGATCTGCAGTATGGCCTCCTGCTTTCTGAGTTAAATTCACTTATTGTGTTTTCATAATGGAATAACAAAAGCCCCTTGGTTTTTAAACATCAGTAGTTTAAAGACTTGCAAACATCAGCCAACATCTCAAACTTAAATAAATCATCCTGAAGACAGTCAGTGGCTTAGGCAGGTTGACCTCCTTTCAGCCAATTTTTCCCTGATGTCTGCAGTAATCTCATGACAGACAGCCCGGTCCTGGAGAGGAAGCTGTACCCAAGGACAGATGTCCAGCTCAGTCCCTTTGTGACTATGAAGAGACTGCTGAACACAGGGAGCCCTTTCAATCCCAAGGGAGCAGGGGTTATAAATACTGCCTATTTTTGTTGACCCCAGACAACTCATGGGCAGGATGAAATGCCACAGCAAAATGTGAAAGGAAGAAACAAAAATACCAAAGAGAAATCAGAAGAAAGTCATGCTCCGTAAGCTTAATTCTGGAGATTATGTAGAATATGGTGATGGTTTTCAAACCTGTTTTAACAGTTGAACTCTTTGTTCAAATGAAAACTTAAGCTAAGCATCTCCATCAATCTGTCTCTGCCCCCCTGTGCAGAATCCCCAGGACTTCACAGAACACAGCTGGAAAACCCCTGAAGTTTACCCCTTCATCAGACTGAGGTATGATGTCAGAACCATCAGGATACTAGATTGAGAGTGTAATGTCAGAGCTGGAAGACACCACTGAGATCAGTAGTCCATCAGTCTCCCCACTTCATAAATAAGGACTGAGGTCCAAGAAAATTAAGTGGTGTGTCAATGTTCACAACACTGTAGTTTTCGCTCCATGATCATTTCTGTTACGTTAAAGTTGGAAAGGAAGGGGTATTCGGGGGAGAACATTATCCCCAAGCCACTCCCTCTCCTTTCCCTCCCAGCTCTGGTATAGTCAGCTCTTCTGAGTTAAGACGTTCTGCGGCTGGAAGGCATTTGATCACCAGCAGAGTCAGGTTCTGGGCATCCATGTGCCTGTAGAGCCATCCTCTGTGTCACATGAATGTCCAAGTGCTTCCTGTTCTCCAAGAGGCTGGGCAGGAGCTGGGGCAGCCTTGCTAGGCTTGGAGCTTGGAGTGTGAAGCATCAAAGGGAGAGGTGTTCTCCAGGTGCCCCAGTGAGGGACAAGCTGACCATCTAATATGGCCCCTCCTTCACCTGAAAGGAACCACTATTGATCCAATAAAGTCAAATATCAACACATTTAAGAGGACCCAACAAGAGAGACGCTTGAACACAATGAGTACCAGGCTACTCAAGAAGACAGGAGCTGGAGGAAAAACACAGTGATGAGCACACAAGGGCAGTCAAACGTGGCTGGACTAATACTCTGAGATTTTTAGAACTAACTAAAGAGCAGTATGGCCAATAAGGGTGGTAAGTGGAGAAAAGAGTGCTAGATAAAATAAGAATAGGTAACATGTGGCTAATAGGTGTAGTGGAAGAAAAAAAAAGAGACAAAAAGAATATGTTTGCAAATAACAGAAGAAATCATTGTCCAACTTGAGGAAAGACCTGAATTTACATGTTGAAGAGTTGGAGGCAAATGTAATGTGGCAAGTCACATCTAGGTACATTCTGTAAAGTTAGCCAACACCTAGGGAAAAGAGGAATTCTTAACAAACTTCTGGCCAAATACGAAACAACAAAAAACATCACCTATCGAGGAAAATGGATCAGACTGGTGTGGAGCTAACCACCGGCAGTACCAAACCCGCATTTGGTGGCGACAGACCATGGGAGAAAATGACCGAAGCCCAAGAATGCTTCACCCAGTCAAGGATTTTACCTGCCAGCGCGAAAGAAAGAACTGTTTGCAGATACATTCAGATGTACAGACTGCATTACCTACACTACCCGTAGGAGGAGCATATTCAATGAAGGACGCTATCCAGACAGTAAATAACACTAAAAGCCATTAAGGAGAATGTAGAGGAGCGGAAACAAGTGGTGAGCAATGTGACATGGCTAAGTGTTTGATGTATTTGCTAAAGAAGGATTCTTGAAGAGATAATAATAGAAGAGAACAGATCTGACTCCATGTTAGATCTGCTCCTTTGTCTTTAACCCTCTGCTTCCTGGCCTTAGTCATGCTGGTTCTGCACCTTTTGTAAAAGAATGTTGCCTACAGCCTGAACTAGACAGGAGAGCCCATTCTCAAGACTGGACTCTTTAAGGGTATTAATACTTTTCCCTTCGTGTAAAGATAAAAAGTTGCAGAATAGAAAATAGCTTTTGACTTGCTGGAGGGTTTCAGGGACACCATGACCTGACCTGCCTGGACAGCTGCAAGAACAGAGGGTTCCGACACCAAGAAGTTTGCAACAACCATATTGCTTCCTCCCACTCAGGAAGCCCACATCTAGAGATACATCCCAAAGAAACAAAAGCACCAAAATGTGTGTGTGCATGCACGTTGTGCACATGTGTGTATTTATGACTACATTTGTTAGCTATGCTATTGTCATACACACACAGGATAAAAAGTATGAACA